AAAATACCGAATATCGGGAGTTACAGTTATATGAGGGATGTATGACATTGCGGACATATATAGGCAATTCTTTTTCAGGGGGTAAAGTAGTCACGAAGAACTCCTTGTGTAGAATATCGGAAAATTCCATTGAAAATGCCGCCTTCAAAATCGTTAAAATACAGAATATCGGGGGTACCGTTATATGGGGACTTTACGATATCGTGGACCGATTATAGCCATCTTCCAACTTGACCTGCATGCAGACAAATCGATGCAAATTTTTAGCTTTCTATCTTTATTCGTTGTCACTCTAGCTTGACGGAAGGACAGGGCAAAATCGTCTTAGAATTTTACTCTGATAAAGAATATATGTATATACTTTGTTGGGTCTAAAATTGAAAATGCCGAACCTCATATACCCTCCATACTATGTATTGTGGAGGGTATAAAAACATCCAGTAAACTCATGACTGACACAATTTCTCTTTCGATTCGCTACATTGTAAAGGACTTTTGAATAAGCAGACAACATCATCTAACATTTGGTAGAGACAGTTAATAAGATATCGAGTGAACACACACACACACACACACACACACAATATTTCATAACATATCCCCTTTCTACAAGCGCCATCTAACACACCACTTCAACAATCAACATGTTGCTGTCTTGGCTGTCACAGGAACAGCACACCCAGTGATTCGTGTCAGAACTTTAATGCATCAGTTCAACCTGAACACATCTTATCTATGTTTAGCCAAGACAAACCGCTACCACAAGCGCTCCCAGCCATGACATCAACCTTGACACCATTTCCGTTTTTGCCTGCGCTGCCTCACTTATTACTAAAGATACACACTAGTAAATTGTTGCGTGTAAACGCCTAAACAGTGTTGGGATACCAGTGTGGATGGTGGTATATCCATGCCCTTCCTCACACAATGCATGCTGACTAGCCTTTACCATTTCACGTCTTTGGTAAAAGTTAACAAAGCCATGGAATGGTAGACTTGACAAAATGCCTTTAATAATAATCATTCATCGGAAAAAATATATATAGGCGCTACTCGCAACATAGAGGGGCATGATAATTTTTAAAAATACAATTGTAGAGTAGCATGACAAATATATTTTCGGTAAATCAAAAACATGCGCAACAAATTGCATTCTTCCATTGATGTGTTAATTAATTGAGTATTGCACCTACTTTTAACATTACGTAACATGATATGTACCATGGCAGAAGAACACAGGTAGATGCATCAAAGCGTGGGAGCATGATATGTCAAAAAAAAATTAAATGTTCCTTAAAATGTAATTAGATTTTAATATGTTTTCTTATACGACGTCATTCGGAGGTTATTGTAATTCGTGTTTTCCAGCAATTTTTATAAATTTTTTTATAATTTTTCATTCAACATTTTCAATCCCAAAATTGGTTTGACAGTTCATTGTCCCAGCAGCTGTGTCGATGCGTCTGCCTATATTCTTCTACCATGATATGTACGATGCGATATAACAACAACGATTAATTCACTTGGTGTCAATGTGTTGAAATACCCTATAATGTGGCATCTTTAGGCAAAGGAATAGTTGGAAGTGACGATGCCAAAACTCGTTTCGGCTGTCCAATTAGAATAACGTCGTTAATCAGTTATTCAAAGCAAACGAATTCAAACGACACTTACCGAACCGACGACTTTAACGACATATGGTTCATTTATTACTTTGCATTTCCGAGCGAAAGATCAACATTGGAATCCGAACGCACGAAATATCTACGGATCGACAAAAATCCAAACACGAAAACAGCGAAAACCCCGAACTGAGAACAGATTAACTCTCATCAAAACATACGCACACACAGAATAATGTTAACAGCACAACTCATGAGCAAGGGAACAACAAGAGTGTAATCTCATCGGAAAGTAAAAAAGGAAACACTATTTTTCGATTATTTTCCACTGGGAGATATTGAAAATCAATATTTCTCTTCATTTTTCCAATTATTTTTTATCTAGGACGCGCTTAAATTGTATATGTGCCCATAATGAACTGCACTCGCGAGTCGCGACTGGCCGCCAAAAAAACAGAACAAAAACTGAAGAGGACGAATTATCAGAAACAGTGTAGTCAACTTTGCAATCGATCGAAATAATCGCCAAAATTAAGTCATCTAAAAAAATGCATTGCAATGCGATTACATATCATGCTATGCATTTTTATAGCATACCTTTAAACTCTCCCCAGAATATTTGATCTGAAATGCAAGAATATGTGTGTTTATATTGCAATATATAGTGTGAAATTTATATAGTCAAAGACATATAATATAATAAGATGGGACATTACATTGTTAATCGTCTTCAAAAGATGGCGTTGGTAGTGCAAAAAAAAAAATGTTATGTCACGATATCGTGTCATAGCATTAGGTTATAATTTAACAGAGCTGACACATTTTAAAGGCTGTTGTTGATTTTTATCGATTCAATGTACAAGGAAATGCTCTGGAATAGATTTTTGAGAGCATGTCTATCATAACTGATATTTTTTTCCGCGTATTTCCGTAATTTTTCGGCGATATCGGAATAACATATTTTTCTAAAATTTCCAATGCATTTCTGTTATGCCGCCTGTCATCTACTACCTAATAGAAAAATTAAAGACCATATGCATTTTGTCCAGTCTTTATAGTTTTATGTCTTTGATATAGTATAGCGTTACTTTTAAGTTTGAAAATTGTTGAGAGCTCCTCAAAATTTTCTAAAAAATGTATGATGACTTTAACATAATGTGTAATCGGGCCTTAATAAAGTAATTTTACATATGACCCTAACATGATATGTATTCGGGTCTTATGCTAACTTCGCTTGGCACGTGATTCGCTCTCTATTCGTTGATCGTTCATTAATTATCGAAATAATCGCCATTTATTAAATACCTTCTTAGTCCCCCACACAAAATTTGCTGAGCCCTTTTTTCCATTCAAATCACTCACAGAACTAAGATGAAAAATGTGCGAGCATTTATCGAAGAAATAAATGATGACATTTAACAATTCAAAACAGAAAAAAATTATTAAATTTTCAAAAATTTTAGAAAAATTGAAAATTACGAATGAAAATATAATGTTGAATGGCGTATGAACATTCAAACGAAAGTAGATTTTGTTCTCTCCCTCATGCGAGGTACGCTTTTTGTCCAAGAATTGGAATATTAGCAGAAAGTTGGAAAAGAAGAGCTTTCTTCAAATATTAAAAAAAAAAAATTGCTTCGACAAAAAATAGAACATATCAGTAATGTATTGGCCCGATTTTCCGTTTACGATATCGGAAACAATTGCAAAACTATTACATTCTTGCTTGTTCTGGAACAGGGCATGGAACATAGTGCCTTTTGCAACATTTCAAATTTTGAATGGACAACGGGTTTTATCAGAATGTTTCATTTTGGCGATTATTTCGATCGTTTGCAAAGTTGACTACACTATTTCTGCAAATTCCTCCTCTTCAGTTATCGTTCTGTTTTTTTGGCGGCCGGACGCGACTCGCGAGTGAAGTTCATTATTGGCACATTTGCAATTTAAGATTAAAATAATTGTAAAAAAGATGAGAAATATTGATTTTCAATAACTCCCAGTGAAAAATAATTGAAAAATAATGATTTCTTTTTTCACTTTCCGATGAGAATACACTCTTGTTGTTCTCTTGCTTATGAGTTGTGCTGTTAACATAATTTGTGTGTGTGTTTTGAATAGAGTTAATCTGTTCTTAGTTCGTGCTCAGAATGTTGCCGTTCCGTAGATTTTTCGTGCGTTCGGATTCCAATTTTAATCTTTAGATCGGAAACGCAAATTAATAAATTAACTTATGTCGTTAATGTCATCGGTTCGGTAAGTGTCGTTTGAATTTTTTTGTGGACCAATGTCAAGGAGAAGGAGTTAGAAAACTGTTGACAAATGTGCAGATTTATTTTGCTTTGTAAAACCGACCATTGATGTTCTTCTAATTGGACAGCAGAAACGAGTTCTGACAACACCGTCGATTCCAATTAGGTGAGTTACCCACACAAATATTTTATATTGAATTTTATTATTGTATTGAATTAAAAAAAGTCGTTCTGTCAATTTTAAAGTTGTTCAACTTTTAAATCTTGTACGCTTGACGATGTGTAGACTAGCCGTAATCGCGAGGGTCATATTAAAAAGAAAATTATAAAATCGATGATTTCAAAATCGATTACAAAAGATCGACTTTGCGAGTTTAGCTTTTGGATTTTTCGATTAATCAAACAAAAGTCGACTTACGTATCCCTAGTCAGTCGTAAGAGTGTATACAACCGCCGAACAGGGAGGACGTGCGCCGTGCGATAGATTTTGTCTGGTGTTCAGAAGAAAAAATAAAAAAACAAATAAGACAAATAGAGTAATTGTAAATTCAGTTCTGTGATACAAATTCAAAGTCAAACTTGATCCTGTTCTATTCGGTGGAGTGGTGTTGTTGTAAAACAAAAAAAAAAAACAAAATAGAAACAGAGCAAGAAAATATTAATCGTCCAACAAAAAATAAATAATAATATTCGTGAGATTCGTCGATATTTACCAAAGTGTTGGGCGTTCGTGTGTGTGACATTTTAAGCCAAATCCATTACAATTGTGCAATTACAGTTCTCCTGGCCAAGAAAACATCCAGAAGATATCCTGGCAAATCAAAAAATTATCTCAGTTTTTTAACAGCTCTACACCTTGAGATTTTTAACGCAATGTCGAATCCAGCGAAACACAAAAAATATAAATAACTTCACACAAAAGAAAAACAAGTCAAACAAAAGCACCAGAAGAACGCTAACAGACCACTCGATTTAAGCCAACTTGATTTAGCAACAGAAACAACAAAAACAGCTGACAACTAAAACGGCTTTGGAGTTGTAGCAGCACTGCGATAAGCTTAAATTAACAATTCATTTTAAGAAAACGAAAAAGGTGAGCGTTGTATTTATTATTGTTGTTTTTCTTAGCACAAACACTTGGACTTTCCTTGATTTTCTTCACTGAGAAAATCAATACTCTCTCGACGCTTTTCGTAAATGTCAAACGGGAAGAGTGGAAACATGTATCGGTATTTATCTGCTCCAAATGTCCTTAACAACCCCTAATTTTCCATGGACATGTAGAGGAATAGCGACGTTCAAATGTGCACGTACTGAGCTTAACAGCTGATTAAAAGCTGGCCGCTTCTGAAACGTTTGCTTCGCCTTCGTCAAATCAAGGATTTACAACTAATGTGGATAACATGAAGTGGTTAGTAACAAAATAAGCAAGAAATTCATTTAAAACAAAACACCAGGACAGAACGTAATGCAACTTAAATTTAAACCTTTCCCCATTCTCACCCACAAAATATGGGGAAATCTATAAATGTTTCACTTGGACTGGACTATAATTGTTACCAAGGAAAATGTCATGCTGAGCGGTTCACAATTGTGGCATAGTTATAAAATTTTGTAGGCATTAGTCTTCTGGTCGCACTTACATCTCTCCAATTTGATGGTTCCTATCATACTTCCTAACCAAACTTTTAAATACTCTTTTAATACTAAACCCGTCAACACTTGGGACTAAAAAATTCATGTGATTTCTTCGCTTGTATGGGAACTGGGTATCTGTTGTTTGAATAAAGTCGACCGCATACCCCTCACCCTGTTGAAAGTCGGTCGTCATTGTATTCAGCTAATTCAACACATGGATAATAAAGCAAAAGTAATGACGAATATTTTCTTTTTCGTTTCCTTGAACCATGTACATAAGTATGAATGTATGAAATGTACATTCCCCATGCTGTTGGTACGTAAATCGCACGAAATGCTGAGGCATCTAAAATTCATAATAGGTCTTGCAAGTTAAGAATCCTGATCATGTACACATTTCCAATAACAGATCAGATGGTTTTTGGAACAAGTGTCAAATTGATTCCTAATAACGATTGTTTGATTGCTTTCGAAACATCAGTAATATACTTTGGCATTCTTCATCTTCGAACTCTTTAATATGGGGCTCGTTCACTCTAACCAGAATTCACCGGTTCATATTACTATCAAATGCAAGCGCTAACCCCTATTAACAATTCAATTAAATTAAATTGATAATTGTTGTATTATTTGTTATCGGTGTGATGGGTTCACACTTAAGTGTTGGCATAAAAATCAATTATTGCCGCATAGAAAATCAGATTTAATTTTCTTCTTTTGATTAATTGGCAATGCGTCGTACGCGATAACGAAATGAAATACACGGACATACACACAACACAACACTTATGTTGGAAAACATAGCGAGAAAGCGAATGTGAAGTCAAGCACCCATTTATTTTCAAGTAAAAGGTGCTGAATTCCGTCGTAGACTCGAATCTGCATAGACAATTTTCTGGTATAGGGTTGGTTGGCTATCTATTGCAAGTTTCAAATACCAAATTTAAATCACATTATTAAATCGACTTAGAATTTTACGCTGATCACGAATTAGATGTACTCTTCGTATATTAGATGTACTCTTTTTTGCATGGTGGAGGGTATAAACACACATAAGGACGGCAAATAAAAAACAGAATAAAACAAAAGCATTGGCGATGTCGAGACAATTAATATTACAACAACAACAACAACCACAAGAACTAAATTTTTATGAGTTTTCAGTTTGACAAAAATGTTCATGTAACTACATAATTATAAACAATTTGCATTGTCGCATTGTAGAGCTGGGAACAGCAGACAATGAATACGCAGTCAGCCACCCTTTGCCCCAGCTACTCCACTTGTGTAGATAAACAAACAGGGCGAGAATAAAGAAAACTCATGCAGAGACAGAGTTGAGCTAATTGAAATCTTGCAGCGTTGTAGTCCCACACGATATCTTGGCATGGTGTCAATCTCCCATCCGACATTGGTGTAGTTCTCGGCATGGGTACATCACACTACTCCCTCATGTTGCTGTTGTTGGGGATATGATTAAATCGAAAGAACAGAAGATCACCCCCTGAGAATATGAAAAGTGATGGGGGTGTGAGTGTCACACACATGCCAAGTTAGTGCGTGGAAGGGCGCTCATTTTGAAAACTGTCACACGAAAAATCATCGAACGTCTTGACGGGGGGGATAAAAAGGAAACATTTCAATAGTTTAATTGAAGCAATGTGCGTTCAACACAGATTAAACGAAGAATGTGCAGAGAAAGGATTTCTTCTGAACTGTAACAATTCAAATACATTGCGAGACCTGCTCAATCCACATCATTCCGGAATGAAACAAATATTGCAATCTTTTTCTAATCAATTGACATGTGGAAGATTAATTACATACATGTCTACATGAGCGATTTGTAGTAATCGAACTGTTTGGTCTTGGATCTCGATTTCCACGATCAAAGCATAACTTAATGTCCAATTTCACTATTTGATTTCGTTTGAAATAGTATTAGTAATAAAGCTGTTGCAAATAAGGGGAATCTTGACAGTTCAAAGGCCATGTGAAAAACAATCCATCCACATTGTGTTTGGATAACGCTTTGGTGCAAAATGCATCCCATTTGGACTTGTCTCTTTTAATGGTTTGTCTCAAATATCCCCCCAGCCCATATTTGTAGGACTTCCGATTTGTGAAATTGTAAACTGCATGACCCATTTGTCATTGAGCCTAGTGTCTTAACCACAAATAACTTAGTCACTTCATGTTTGTTTGCTTTGTTGTTATCATTCGATGTAAAGTGGATGCCACCCACCCGCTAACCTACATACAAATATACACACTTGCATGGCAATTGTTGATACGTATTGCCAAACACTTGATGGGAGCGCAGCAAAGAGTATTAATGTTACAAGTTCACTTTAAATCGCGGTGACCCAAATTTCCAACGGCATAACATCCGAATCGAAGTGAGTTAGTGAGTATGAAGATATTTGGGAATATCTCATTTAAAGCAGTGTCAGACAACAAACTATGCACCATCTTGTTGTAAAAGAAGTAGAGATAGAGATCTACAATAACCAAACGACAACATGAACAAATTTTGGAACGCGCACTAGGCCATGGCTTGAACTGCTTCCCGGTAGCGGAAGTCCTAACTTAAAACGTAATTTGCTTTTGATCATATGTGACGCTCTGCTCAGCCACAATCAACGGCACAGAGAGTTGACAGTAGAATGAAAACAACAACATTTCGATAGATGAAAAGAATAAATGAATGTCGGATACAACATATCCAGTTATTCAAACATGGTTAGCGATTGCATTGAAGTGACGTCAAATATGTAAATACGCATTCAGGCTTGAACATCGTAAAACAACAGCAACGGCATTAATTCGAAATATTAATTATTTGGTGTAACCCGGAAATGGTCACTGTCTTCAAGCGCATTGTATGAAGGCGATTAAAAGCGATTACTTCTTTTCCAATAAAATGAGGTTTTTTTAAATATTTTCCAGTATTTAACTCAAGCTCGCATTGCAGGTGATTAACTTAAAGACAATCACAATTTTCAGTTTTCCAACTTCTATACAATTATGTGCGGAGTAGTCCAGTTTCTAGTATTAATAATAAACGATTGTTATGACAAATAAATAAAGGGCTCTTGAAAACTTTGATAATGTCATCGAAACGTCTTGCTAAACAAGTTTGCTTTTCTTTCATATAACCTCACCAAAAAGCCCATCAGAAATCAACCACAAGAAAATGTGGGACTTTATGTCCACAAAGATGTCCCACAAACAACCCATGCGATCACTTATGAAAATCTTTTCCGCATAGTTCCAGAAAACAGGCGCAGAGCAATCAAGCGAGAGTATGAAATTCACATAAAAATATGCAAATTTTGCCACCTAATCACGTTTCTAGACACGCACCATTCAATAAGGAAAACACAAGCTGAACTTTAGACGAAGCCGTTGAAACCAATAATAATATCAAATTAATTTACAAATAAAAGTGATAAACAATACAAAGTGGAAACACATCAGCGTGTTAATGAATGGGGTCGAATGTGTTTTTTTTTTGTAAGCGATCCGCTTACCGGCAAATACGGACTTGATCACGTTCTTGGTGTAAATCATGTCGTTAAGATGGATTGTAGTGCGGCTTCTACGGTCGGCATGTGGCACCTCTAGTTGTCATTGTTTGCATTTAAAGTCAGATAATTAAGTATTTTTTACAACCAAACTGGCAAGCGTTCAGTTTATGTTTAAATCAAAAACATTAACCACCCCTATCTTCTCAGCCATATGCCCACACAATGTAAACTCAAACTCGAAACGGTACTATATTTGGTACTATCACATTGGCGCTAAAATGTTGGCATGCTCATTACCCAAGGTAACGGGACTTGTTTTTTCGCACTGTTCATTAAAAGTTTAAAATGTTTATTAGTTTAACTCATATTTATTACTTATTGATGAATAATAATGTCTGATCTATATGCCAATTAAAATTTCGTTCGGATTGTCCCTGTACCGACCAGATATAATGTGGCGTAAAGAGCATACATTTGTTTGATATAAATCTATTTGTCCTTTTTTAATTCAAGTACCTTTCACTTGAGTTCGGCTCATTCACTTATACCTAGGCAGTTTGTGACACGGCAGCGTCCAAAGGCCGTCTAATCCTATTATTTACCTCCCTCTTTCGGGTCGAGTTCTTGGTTGATTAACATTTATTTTTAACTAAAACACGTTTTCCGGCCCAAAACGAAAAAGAATCGAACAAATAAGTTTAAAATAACAACAAACACTCAGGTGGAATTAAAATCTCTATATGTGTACATACACTGGTGGCCAAAACTAAAGCAACTGAAATTACAAGGAGAATGAATGGCCTGTAACTTTTTCAAAAATTAAGAAAATGAGAAAGGTTTTCTTGTTTTAAATTAGGTACTTTATTCACTTTTTAAAACCCAAAAACATAAAACCAAAATTCATTTTTATATAAAAAATAATGTT